CAGGATCTCACTGGCTGTAGCCTGAGGCCCATAACTGGCCTGGGGTCCCCTTGCTGGAGAGGGACCAAACCAGGGGCTTACACCCAGGTCTGCCTGGAGCTCTTCAAGATAGTGAATTTAGTCCTTCCTTCTCCCACTCCACCCCCTACCCGCAACTGAATCTCTCCTGATGTCTCCCTGTGATGGGTGGGGAGCAGCTGGGGGGTTCCCCAGACCCCAGATCCTGGAGGCAGAGCTGGGTAAGCCTGAGTTAGTGAGTTAACCTCTCTAGTCTTCCATTTCCTCCTCTAAAAATGGAATCAAAGCATTACTGTAAATATTTGATAAAGTGTTCAATAAATAGTGTCCGACTTGTTCGTATTGAAGTTTGGCCACCAGGGGGCTCTGGGTTTCAGGGTTGCTGCTCTGCTGGTCCAGGCAGCTGTGAGGCCCAGAACTTCTCGCTGACCCCTGGGGAGACTTGATGTTCTCTGTCCCATCTCCAAGCTTTGCTGGTCCCTTGTCAGGAGTGCCCTCCTTTCCCATCTTCCGGCACACATCCTCCAGGATCCTCCTACAAGCCTCCCTGATTCTCTCCCCCAACTGTGTCCAACCAGGGATTTAGGATGCTCCCAAACCCCAGCCCCTGGGTCCTGCCCTCACTATGTGACCATTCAGCCCTTTTGGCTCTTGCTATCCCTAATCAGACTGAACTTTGAAGAGAGAAACCAGATTTGTCTCCCCTCTGTATAGTGCAGCATCATTCATTCCACATTTATTGAGCCCTTAACGTGTGCAGGGGCATGTTTATACAGTGGTGGGAAAACAACAATAAAAGACGAAAACCTCTCAGTTGTGGAGCTCACAGTCTTGGAGAGAGGCCATAGACAAGTGAATATGTAATATGAGGTCTGATAATGATGAGTGCTTTGAATAAGAAACAAAGCAACATGCAGGGAAAGGCAGTGAAGGGTGCTGTTTTAGTTTGAGAGGTCAGGGCCTCTTTGAGAAAGTGACTTTTGAGTAGAGATCAAAGTAAAGCAAAGGCAGTTTCTAGCCCTGACAGAATATCTCATGTCAACACAAAACTTCCACCTGTACAACTCTCTCCATGCTGTGGTCCACTGAGGCCACAAGATTCTTTCCCCAATCTGAATATTTACCCTTTGTGTAGCATGAAGAGAAACTTAGAATTTATTTCTGTGACCCATCAACTTAACCAGATTTCTGATACTTCATTTTTTAATTTGAGCTGAATCAGGACTTGGCAGAGCACGGAGCACAAAAAAGGATCACAAATCATGTTGTCTATCATCCAGAGCTCCATGACAGTATGGGGAAGGGCTTAAAAGCAAGAGCAGAATGGCAGCCCACTGGAAAGGGTTGGGAGGAGGGGAGGGGAAGAATCTTGATGCAGAGAAGGTTTTCTGCAGGGAATGAGGGTAAAGCCTGAGGGGCAAGGAAACCAGTGACCTATGAGAAACGCATTGTGTCCCCTTTTCCCTAGGATGAGAAGGTTTTCAAGGGGTGGCTGAGGAGCTTGGCTGTCCCCTGACCAGCGCCTCTGTCATGTAGGACAGAATGTCACCAGTCCCATTCCCCTTCCTCTTGCCTCTGCATCTGAAACAGGCCAGAGACCTGCCCCCAGGGGGCGCTCCATCTTCCATGCCAGACCTGGGGAGGTCCCTGCTGAAGGGTTGACGCTGTCCATGGTTTTGGAGCACAGCTGGGCGCTGAGTTCAGGAAACCCCCAATTCTACCAAGGACCCCAATCGACATGAACAAGGTACCAAGCTTTAGGCCAGCAGGGCACCTAAGGAAGGGGGTTCAGAAAGGCTTTCTTTTAAAATTAATGTTAATATAGTATCCAATTCTGTCTCCTTTTACATTTGACATTTTCTACCCTTATAATTTAGATGCATACATTGTGAAGAATATATGCTTGGGATAACAATCCAAGCTGACTCTCTGTCTTTAACTGAAGCATTTATCCAACTATATTCAATGTTACATTTTATTTTCTATACGTGCCCCCAGTGCCACATTACTTTATCTCTCCAACCTTGTCTTCTTTGATTTACTAAGCTTTTTATAGTATACTTTTAATGACTTCTAGTTTGTACATTCTTTTTTCCCTTTTTTTTCTTACAGGAGTGAGGTAATTTTAGGTATATTTATTTGTTTTTTTAACAGAGGTACTGGGAATTGAACCCAGAAATTTGTGCATGCTAAGCATGCACTCCACCACTGAGCTATACCCTCCCCCCTCTAGTTTGTACATTCTGATTCTATTCTTGTAGTCATTACCATAAAAATTACTGCATGTCTAATTAACTTATCAAAGTCTTTAGCAAATGAAAACATCTCTCTCCTCCGGGATTATATGCAGATGTTAGGAAATGTAAAATCCATTTACCATCCACCCCCAACTTTGGACTTAGCTGTTATTATTGTCAAGAATTTTTAAACTGTCTTCTATGTTTCTTCTATAGGTAATGAACTCCCCTTTTATTTGTTCCAAATGATCTGTATTGTTTCCTCATTTTTTTAATTTATTGAGTATAGATTATAAAGTGATATTTAAAGACAGTATTCACATTTTTCTGCTACATAGTTGCTATTTGATAAGTCAGTCAATTATGCTACTCTCCTTTGGAAGGTTATCTGTCTTTTTTCTCTGGTTGTTGTTCAGATTTTCCCTTTGTTTTTGCTTTTCTTTGATTCACCCTTCCCCTGATACAAACTCAATGTGGAAATGGTCTTCTATGAAACTTTCTACCTTAGGCAGGGCCAGAGTCTTGACTTTCATTTCCAGGACCATACAAAGCCACAGAACTAAAGCTCACATGGTCAATTCGGGCAAGTGCCATTGGGAGTTTTGGAATTTTGGCTTAGATATTCTGCCTCATTCTCTTGGTTCAGGCTTTCCCCAAAATTCTGGCGTAGTAAGTTCTCATTTTCTTTTCAGGTTTTCTATACTTTTAAAATGAGGGATTGTATTTTTCTATTCATATTTTTCCCCAAAGGATTTTATTATTTTCAGCATAAGACTCGATCAGATTAACCAAACCTGTCATTACCAAAACAAGAGTCACAACTCAACTCCTTACTCTACTGAAAATGGGGTCCCAGTAGTGGAAACTGAGAATCAGTGTCCTCCTAGCACTGTACTGGAATTATTATCCACCTCTTTCCTCACAGCCACTTTCTAAAGTTTAGGAAATAACTTATCCCAATCTGGGTGCTTTTTTGTGTTGTGGGGGGCACACCCCTGCAGTGGCCAGCCCCCACATACATTTCCCTGTCCGGAGCCAATGTTGTAGCTGGACTGGCCCTCGAGGTTCTTACTATGATTGCAAGAGGTACTCCAGCAACAACCGTCAAGGCTCACTACTCACAAGTCCCAGAGGATACATAGCACACATGCGGGCTGCTCAGTGAGGTCTCAAGTAAAGAAGGAGGGAGGATGCGTGGGCCTCCAGCTCTGCCTTCTTTGGGGTACAGCGTGGGGTGCCTGGGGTTTCACAGGTTCACTCTTTATTGGTGAACTTTAAAAATATAAGAGGGGTAGTGGGGGAGGATATATGTCAGTGGTAGAGCACATGCCTAGCATGCATTAGATCCTGGTTCAATCCCCAGTACCTCCATTAAAAAATAATTAATTAGTAAACCTAATTACCTTCCCCCCCCAAAAAGTAAACAAACAAAATAAGAAGGGAAATTAGGATGTGAGAATGGAAAAGCAGGGTCACTCAAGGGTCAGGTCACCCAGGGTTTTCTAAAAGGGAACTTCACAGGTGGTAACATCTAGCTCTTTAGCCATAGCTGGTGATATGTTTCTTCGAGATGAATGTCTCTGAAAAGGATGCCCCCAAAATGAAAACCTCAATGTCAGGCACTTACAATCCAAAAAGCTTGTCAGTAGGCACTCACACTACAGTGGGGCTGGTGAAATCTTGGCTACTTTTGCTTTAGTGCTTTCTTTAAAAGAATAAATTAGCTCAATTTTAGAGGAAGGGGAGAAAGGCCTTTCTTCAGTCTACTCGTTCAACCAAAATCCATCCATGACCTCAGGTTGGAAGGACAAGCAGCCGTAAGCAGATGAAAGCAAGGTGGCACGGCCTCCGGGAAAGGGATCTCAAATTGCAAAGACAATGGTATGCACCAGCATGGAAGGCTTAAGGAAGAGTGAGCCGAGAGGAGAGGGTGGGTAGAGAGCGGTGAGGGCTTTAAATGCCAGGGCAGATGCTTGCAATGCTCTAAGGCCAGGGAGCCATGAGTGGGTTTATGTGGGAGAATCAGGGTCAGCTCTCTGACTGTTAGGAAGATCCCTCTAGAGCCCATAAATGAGATAGGGAAGGGACTGGAGATCAGGAGGTGAAGGAAAGTGCTGGAGGAGTTGACAGATAAAAGCAGGGCATGGAGATACCACCCCTGCCCCAGAGAGGTTATAAGATGCCGTATCATTAACCATACACCAGGTGCAGAGGCTGGTCTTTTCCTGGGGAGGCTTTGAAGGGTTCTGGGAAGGAGAATGACATCAACAAATTGCCACCCTGTCCTCTGTGCCTGGTGTGAAAAATTAGTAAACAAAAACCTCAGTTAAATAGAATCAGGAGACCAGCAGGGGGAGCGCTCATGCTCTGCAATGACAGCAGAACCCAACAGGAAGAAGAAAGGCTCCTCCTCTTTCCCGTCAAGGACTCAGCCAATAAAAAGCCAGGGACTCTTTGTTTACTAGAGCCCCCGACTTTTACCCGCCTCTATTAAAGCTTTCCCCTTCCCTCGCCACGTGGGAACTTGCATAAGGCTCGTCACGGTTGCAGACCCCTAATTGCAATTCTCGGCTGACCTTGAATAAACTCATCTTTGCTGTGGAAATACCTGGCAGGCTACTTGTTTCAGGTCAACACTAATCACTCCCAGCCTCAGGAGAACTTGCCAGGAAGATCTTTCTGTTCCAGGAAAAGAAACCAGCAGGCACTGGGCACAGACCAGCTAACAGGACCTCTGCTGCTTGGTTTTCACACGTTCATTTCTTTAATGCTCACCCAACTTTGAGGTAGGACACATAATCTCTGATTTACAGAACGGAAAACTGAGACACAGGGAGATGAAGTGAATTGCCTGATCACAATGCCTTAGGAAGTGTTGGAACCTGCCTTTGAGCCCAGGTCTTTCTAATCCTATCACCTGTCTTCTTTCTGCTCTACCTGGGGACACTCCCACAGTAGTTAATGCTAATATTGCCACAAAGGTTTCGTCAACTAGCCCCTGACTTCTCCTTTCCCCCGCAGAGGCTGTGATTCCTCCAGCCAGGACCGAGCTCTGGGCGAATCCTCATTTGTTGATTTTGATCTCTGAGTACTCGGTGTTGCTGGTGGCCTCCCGGTCCTGAGGCTCTCGAGACTTCAAATCGTGAAAGCTGAGCGAAGCATAATGGAGTTCCTGCTGCTCCCCCGAGGGCGGGGCATCCTCCACAGCGGATGGCGCCTGGTCTGGGGGGCTGTCTGGCCAGGACTTTTGCCTGGAACCCTGAGCAAAGGGGAGAAAAGGGAGTCAGAGAAGGAAGAGTAAGGCAGGCATGGTCCCCAAGGGGAAGGTGGGCTGATGGAACATTCATTCATTCATCCTCTTATTCCACATATGTCTCCTATGAACTCAACTATTCACTCATTCATTTAAAATTTTGTAAAACTAAGGTTGAGTAGACCATATCGAGGGCTTACTGATCATATTTAACCCTCACAAAAACCCAGTATGAATGACAAATCTTATGAACCCCATTTTACAGATAGGGAAACTGAGGTGAGGGAGAGGTGAAGTAACTTGCCCAAGGTCACTCTGTTGTAAACGGCAGAACCAGGACTTAAACCCAAACCTGCTGTGTTATTGGCAGTGTCTCCTGTCGCAGGTCCTGGGGAGGGGGAGGGCAGGTGGACAGTGTGAGTAGATATAGACCCTGACCTCATGACAAGTAGACATGTACACAAAGCAAATTTCTGACATCCATGTGTTATGAGGTAGCATATGCAGAAATCAGAAAAGGGATGTTAGTTCTGGATCCGGGTCCCAAGCTCCAATAAGCAAAAATGAAAATAGAGTAGGAACCCAGCAAAGATGATACCCAGATGCTGGTAAGCCATTCCGTTTTCTCTCCCACGGCTGCCTACACTCCGACACCATCTTGCTATTGAAAATGTGTTGAAAGCAACATTAACCTTTAAATAGTAGCTCAGAAAGGGAAAACAAGAAAATGCAGGTTAGGGAAAAATTGGTTTCACCATGTCAGAAAAAAATAGAATATCTAGACAGAGCTGCCCGTAGTAGGCATGAGCAAGATGAAATAAAATGACAGGAACTAGGTGCAGCCAAAGACAGGGATATAAGGACATTGTCCATTAATAGTCTTCCCCGATATTAAAGGGGGATTAAATTAATCATCACAGGACAAGATGCAGCTCAATAAACAGGAGAAAGCAATATGTTCATTCTTTCACTCAATACCTCTTTGCTGAGCCTTGGCTATGAGTTAGATGCTGTTCTCACAAATGAGGACATAAGAGGACCTGAAACAGCCCCAAATACCTGTTTTTGTGTGGTTCCCTATTAGACAGGGGGAAATACTAACATAAGGTAAAAATTGTGAGCAATTTTCCCACGAATTAGGCACACTTCTAAGCACTTTTCATAACAACCCAGTGAGACAGGAACCAATGTACTGATGGACTCATTTCCAGAACAGAAAATAAAGACACAGAGAGGTTCATTAACTGGCCTAAGGTCACACAGCTTGGAAGTGGCTGGATCCAGGACTTGAACACAGGAATTTGAACTCCAGGGACTATGCAGTTGATCACTTTACAATTCTGTCTACAGTATGAAAATGTACAGGAAGGTTGAGAGTAAAACCAGGGGAAAAACAAATCACTCTTTACCATAGTCCCTGTCAAGATAGTGAATTCACACATGCCACTGGCTCTGTCCGCCAAGATCCAGCAATGCAAGATTATAGACGGAACTATGGGATGACAAAATTTTGTAAATCAGTTGATCAGCTGATTGAACACACATAAATCCCTAGGGGGAAAGTAAAGGCTAATTTGAATAAATGGAGTGGGGGAGGGGAGGCGCTGCAGCCCAGGGCTAGGAAGTTGGCTTGAGAGGATGGGTTACCTCCAGTGTGCTTGAATTCTGTTCCTTTCTCTCCTCTACCCTTGCCTTGGGACAGTCATCATCTGCAGAATTCAGAGAGCCTGCACACGCCAGTGATATGCCGGTGTCCATGACGTAAGTGCTGGATAAGCACTGAAGGTTCACTGAGGCGAAGAGAGGAGCAGAGGTGGAGCCTCACTGGCCTTTGGGATTTTTGTCCTCATTTTCTCCTTTCCAAAGTCTGGGGTCTGGTGGATCAAAATCCACAGAGAGCCCCTGCCCAAAGTGCCTTCTGTCTGAGGGCGGGAAGGCAAAGGGGTGACTTGAGCTGATTTCTTGGCAGAGCAGGAAGTGCAAATGCTTGGCAGTAGTTTTGGTGCCTGAGGATGCTCCACCCTGGGGATTGTCCGGTCCCTCCTTCAAATTTGACACAGACCAGCATCTGCCCTTCACTTTCACCCAATCAACACTCCAGACAGAGTAGCTAACACTCCCGGCAAATATGCTCTTCTAGGTCAGAAGACTGGACACCAACAGTGAAACTACCCTGGAAGAAAAACAAATGAAGGAATCTGGGAACCTCATCTCATGTACCTCTGAAGCAAAAGCATTAGAACCCTCTGATCAAGAGTTTAAACTAAGCACACTAAATGCTCTAGGAGAGAGCCTTTACTTTCCCCTAGGGACTTCGGTGTGATCACTTATTAATCAGCTGAGTGACTGATTGATTTCCAAATTCTTTGTCATCCCGTAGTTCCATCTGTAATTCTTCCATTGTTGGATCTTGGCTATTACCATCATGAAAACAAGAATAAAAAAATTACATAAGTCAGTCAAGAACTATGTAATACCTTTGGTGATATGTTGCAACTAGACTTATGTTGAAAATGTATAGAAATATCAAATCATTATGTTGTGTAAGGGGCACTAATGTAGTGTTGTAGGTCAGTTAAACTCAATAACGAACAAACAAACTCATAGAAAAAGAGATCAGATTTGTAGTTACCAGAGGCAGGAGGTAGGGAAAGGGGGCATTAGATGAAGGTAATCAAAAGATACAAACTACCAGTTATAAAATAAATAAATACTAGGGATGTAATGTACACATGATAATTATAATTAACACTGCTGTATGTTATAAGTGAAACTTAGCAACAGAGTAAATCCTCAGAGTTCTCATCACAAGGGAAAAACATTTATCTATTTATCTTTAGTTTTGTATCTACATGAGATTGATGGATGTTCACTAAACTTATTGCAATAATCATTTCATGATGTATGTAAGTCAAATCACTATTCTGTACACCATAAACTTATACAGTGCTAAATGTCAACTGTATCTCAATAAAACTGGAAGAAAAAGAAATTATGTACATCGGAAGTTATGTACATAAAGTGCGAAACGAGAAGTTATGTAATTCTGTAAATTACGGTAAAAAGGGGAAATGCGTATGCAATTCTGTAAAAAGTGGAAATGTTATGTCTGAAAAATACAACAAGAAGAACCCAGTGGATGGAATAAAGAATCGAATGAATATAACTGAAGGTATATGAGTGAGCTAGAAGGGCCATTTGAAGCGCCCCCTACAAGAAGGAGAGGAGAAAGATCAGAACCCAAGAAAGAAAAGATAGACAGAAGACAGACACAGAAAGTCTCAACATTCAGATGACAGTAGTCCCCATATGCGATTTTTTTTAAAAAGACATAAAGCAAGAAGAAATATTTGAACAAAAATAGTGGAGATAAAATTCCCAGTTTAAAGAAAGATGAACCACTTCAGTTAAAAGGACCCCACAAGTGCAAGAAAATGGACAAGAGAAAGCCCACCTCCCCACAGAGCAGCGAATCTTAAGAGTATCAGAACCAAGGAGAAACACATAAACGTTTCCGGGGAGGAGGAGAGGATTACCTCCCAATGTGCGAGATTCAGCCTGACCTCACATTTCTAACAGGAACATTGGGTACAAGAAGCAATGAAGTAAACTGTTTAAAGCATTGTGGTAAAACCTCCTTGACCCTAGAATTTACATCCTGCCAAATGAAGTTCAAATATAGGGGCATAAAAAAACTTTCAGGCACCGAGCCCTCGGAAGTCTTAATACAGAAAACCCAAATTGAAAACACATTGGGAGGAAGAATTCAAATAAAAAGAACAAAACCAGGAAACCATACGCGATAAGAATAGGAGATATAGGTATCAAAATACCTCATTAAAATGTGTATTTAAAAAATAAAACCAGAGAATAGAAAAATGTTAGGTAGGTTCATGATAACCCAGAATGAAAACGATCTCTAAAGAAAGAAGCAACATTGTAGTAGAGGGTGGAGGAAGAGGAGATCAATGGATGTAAAAGCACTCGTGTTCTTTTTGTTAGGAGTAAGATAGAAATATTAACTGTTTTAAGAAAGGAGACACTGTATAGCACAGGGAAATATACACAAAATGTTATGATAACTCACAGAGAAAAAAATGTGACAATGAGTGTGTATATGTCCATGAATGACTGAAAAATTGTGCTGAACACTGGAATTTGACACAACATTGTAAAATGATTA